TACCTAGCATACTTGTCTAAAGTGAACTACATTTTTGCAGCATGGATGCAAGCCCAAGCAGCCGACATCCCCATAGTCATTCGCCCTCACCTTCTGATGGCAGAGGAGATGAAAGCTCTCCATCGCGTCGAGATCGCAATCGCTCATCGATCTCGAGAAGTCGCAGTGAAAGTGATCACGAGAGCCGAAGTCGAAGGTAAGCTAAATCATTGACAAAAAGACCATCAAAAGTAGTTTGATTTTGATGCAACGAAAGTTCATCACTATTCGGAATTGGAGTTACGGTGGACAGCCCGCACAGTGGGACTCTTAAAGCTTTTCATGTGCCTGCACATTGCCGACGAGCACAGGATAATGTACTGACATTTTTTGCTGGCACAATTCACTATTGAACAAATTTGGGGAGTACGGCATATTGTTACAATTTACGTTATCTTAGAAGCAATTTCTGCGAATCTCACCGGCTTCTCTCTTTCCTGTCAGTCTTTGGTGCAAGTCATTATCAGCAGTAGTAAAACATTTGAAAAGTGACCTATGGTAAATATGGCATGTTATATAGTCAGCGGGTTTCTTTTTGCTCTTAAATACACATATACTACATGTTTTCTTATTTTATTCGGCACGTGCTTCTGCTTACTGGGCTTAAAGTCTAGATAACCTGTCTCTTCAAGGAGCGAGGGAAAGGGGAAGTAGTTTGACATTTGATAACGAAAGTCATATCCATTTCGCGCAGTCGAGCTCTACTTACTACGTTTGATAGAAGGTGACGGGTCGAAATCACCTAAAATGTCCTAAAAGGGTCATTTGACACGTTAACTACGAGTTTGATGATTCGAACTAATTGACATAATGTCATAGTGCATGCAAGAAATGGTTTTCCTGAAGGCTTACAAGGGAAGGATATAAGTGGCCGCTACCGTTTAAGATGAGATGAGTACCAGAAGAGTTCTCAGAACATAAGTTCCAAACATTTCTCCCCTGCTAAACGGTTCCTAGAAAGATTTATGAGTCGGCAAAGAAGATTACACCGCCCATAGATGTCGAATTTACAAATGAATTTATAAGAATAGCGTTACTTGTCTCATCACTTCTGCTCATTTGATACAGCCTTAGTGAAATAGACCATGATTTAGCAGAACACCTTATTATAGAATGAGGCTAAGAAAGTTGAAAATTAAGATTTTTTTCCATTAGCAATCTC